AAAATGAAGATTTCTTGTAGTGGGGCACGGGTCTCCTGGGGCAGAGCAGAGACTGTGGACTGGGGTGAGAGGTGGCAGTGGTCCCAAGTCTCAGGTGGCAACAGTCCTGAGTCTCAGATGTGTTTATCCATCTTGAATTGGTGCTGGCTGAGACCCTGAGGTCTTCTTCACACTGAGGAGATGCTGTTCTATGGTGCTAGGGATGGAACCCAGGGCCTTCTCCAGCTAGGTAAGTGCTCTGCTCCAGTGCTTCATCTTTCATCTCATTCCACCTGGGAAGGTTGGAAGACTTCTTGGAGCAGGAAGTAGCCCAGCTAGCTAGGTTCCATAGGATAGAAGACAAGGTCAGGTGAACGATGATGAAGGAGTACATGCTCCCATATGGAGGGTGTAAAGTGACTCCTTCAGAGAATACCACACTTCCCAGTGTGGCCTGTCCAAAAGGGGCAGGTGAGGGGACATAGCCAAGGGAAGAGGCTCTCTGTGTCACCTTTACATCCTCAAGATAACAGAAGGATTCTACGATGATTTGTAACACAACTGGACAAAGGTATTTTAGATTACATAGAGGGTGGTCTAAGGGGGCAGGTCAGAGGCTGCTGGGACAGTTTCAAGCCATGGAAAAAGGCTGGGCCAATGGCTGCAGAGAGAGAAATAATTATGCTGCATAACAATATTCTTTAGGGAATGAACTTTATTTTATATAGCTAAATTTGTGCTTACTTGTTTGCCAAAGGTGAAGGGTGCTCCTTTTATGCTGGACTCCCCTTACCCCATAGCCCTCCTATGAAAGGGGAAAAAGCCCAACACATCCTCTAGGAAATATTGATAGGGAGGAAAAAAAGAAATTCATTCCAGGATCTCATAAGAATGCCTTGTGGCACATGCCTGTAAGCCCAGCACTCTGGGAAGCTGCGGCAGAAGTATCACAAGATTAAGCCTAAACTAAGCAACTTAGCAATTCCCTGTCTAAAAAATAAAAAATGGGGTGGGGATGTAGCTCAGAGAAAAGGTCTTGGGTTCAATCTCCAATATCAAAAAAAAAAAAAAACCAAACCAAACCTCATCAAACTGAAACATTGTACACATGAAGTAAAGAAAGCATTTTTTAGTTTCAACTTTTTATGGCCTTTTAGAAGAAGCTACCAACTTGTTTCTATTCTTTGCTGAATTTCCCAGAATATCAAAAATGTTGACCTGATATCCCAAAATTGTGCACAAAAACAATGCTTTGCTTTTTACAAGAGATGGGTGCAAATTTAGGTCTTGCTTCTTATTAGATTTCAGGTAACTATACTTTATTACGCTGAACAGCCAGGGCCTTTGAAATTATTCAGGCACATTGTTTCGTTGTAGAGCCAAGGAACCCAGGCCTGACAGCCTTGACAGGCCCATGTGTGTGGCTGGTATGATGGGCAGTCCTGAGACCCTCACCCAGAAGTCTTTCCATGAAACAGATATTACAGAAATGGTTTCTTCTCCTCAAATGATTCCATTAAGAGCTAAAATATGAGGTCTGCCTTTACCATTCACCTATTCCACTGTATTTGAGGATGTGCCTGCATGGTAGGGTTTACTTGTGACTGCAAAATCAACACTGTTGATGTTCACATACTCATGTGGTTTCCGGTCGAGTATTCTGATGCATACACTCCAGGTTATACGTGGCGACCTCATGCTGCTGGTGTCCTTTCTTTCCTTTGATTATTTAGCTGCCAACCTTTTTACATTTCTGTGCTGTCTGCTGGTGATTTCTCTACTTCATGTGGTCCCTGAGCACAGCACTGCAATGCTGTCTGGAGACCTTTAGTGTGATGAAGCTGATAAATGCCTTCTGAAAAATGTATGGACAAGCATTGGTTAGGGAGGAGCGACAGGGCTATAGGCCATGAGTATAATGTTAGTAGATCAACAATGTATATTGAACAAGGTACCCTTAAACAGAAACAACAGGACAGAGTGACATTGAGCACTTGATAAAAATGTGAGCAGAGGCTCTCTGGCACTTCTCCTGTGTCTCCTTTGCAGTAGCAGCTCAGTATCTAACTCCAAGTTTAAGTAACCTCACAGATCCTAAAGCCCAGGGACAGTGAATGGGCTGGCCTTATGCGACTTCCATCCTCTACAGGTAGACTCCACCTCAGTTTCTTCTGCAATATTTCAGTGATGTTTGCTGTAGAAAACAGGGGTGTGTGTCAAAGGCTTCCTTCTGATGAAAGCCAATGAAGTCACCCCCTGGTTTTGCTGGCCTCCCTGGTTCTATTTCAGCTCCTCTTTACCCTCAGCGCAATGTGAATCACCTCTGAACCCAGCCTCTAAAGATCCCGCCACGCTTCTGCTAGCCAGAAACCTGGGGTCCAACTCTTGCTTTGACTCCATCCTCTTCCCTGAATTCTTTTCCTTTACTCAAGGCCCTCTGGATTCTGCCTCCTGAACATTTCCCAGATCCTTCTCATTTTCTCTGTAATCTTCTTAATGATCCTCCCCAGTTACACACACCCACATCAACTCTACTTTCCATAGTTCACAGAGCAGGGGGCTCAAACTCCAGTGAGGGAGCACATGACTGCTTGTTAACACATGGATTCCTGAGTCAAGCTCCCCAAATGGAACGGCTGATGGCTAGAATCTGCACCTTTTTACAAAAATCTCCTGATTCTGATGTCTGTTGACCTCAGGACTCCATAACCACCTATCCTGTTTAGAATCTCTTGCTCACTTACCTATGCTGGTTAAACTCTCCTTCTCCCACATCCCAGACTCATATACTTTATCTGTTTATCAGAACCCTTGCCCACATGATGGTTGACTTTGTATGTCCATGAGACTGGGGTTAAGGGGTGTATAGATAGGCAATAAAGCATTATTTGTTCTAAGTCTTTGCATTATTTATTTGCAAAGCTTCAATAGGTACCAATCCCATCCCATCCCATTTTTGCTACAAAGGAACACCACTGGTTTAGTTTTAGGATGACTTGCTGTCCCAGTGGGTCTGGAGGGGTGTTGTAGGAAATGACTGGCCTATGAGTGGATAGACTGAGTGGTGAAAATCTGTCTGCTGTCTGTGAGGTGAACACTACCTACTCAGCAGGGGATCCAGACAGAAAACGGTGAATTCTTGCTCATTGTCCTCTGGACCAGACACCTGCCTTTTCCTGCCCTTGGCTTCAGAGCTCCAGTTTCTCTAGCTTTTGGACTCTGGGATTCATACCAGTGGCTTCTGGCCTTTCAGATCTTTGTCTCATGCTGAGAGTTATAGCACTGAAGTGCCTGGCTCAGGACCTTTCGACTTAGACTGAGCTATGTTCTTGGCTTTTTGGTTCTCCAGCTTGAGACAACCTACTGTGGGACTTCACAGTCCCTACAATCCAGTAAGACAACTTCCCTAGTAACACTCTTTCATCACTATTTCTCTAGCCTACTGGTTCTCTCTCTCGAGCATATTGACTAAAACACCTGTGCTATGGAAACTACTCCTGAGGCTGATTTCATAAAAAAAAAAAAAACCTAGAAACTTTCCAGGGCAAGGTCTGTGTCTGGTACCCAAGACAGTGGCCAGTGAGTAGGAGATAGTCAACTAAAGCCAGGCGTGGTGGTACACCCTTGTAATCCCAGCACTCAGAAGGGCTGAGGCAGGAGGTTCATAAATTCTATCAAATCAGTGATATTTCATCTCAAATAAAAAAGCCTGGGGGATGTAGTTCAGGGCAAGAGTTTAATTCCCAGCACTGTGGGAGTGGTGGGGGTGGTGGAGTGAACTGAAATTTAAAAAGAATTTTATGAATTTTAGGAGACACTGAGGCTTTCTGAGCAGTGTCCCCAGTATGGCTGGTCACGGATCTCAGGGCCAGCAGGGGCCTGGCAGGGGTAGGGGTGGCAGTGTCCAGCAGTGGAACAGGTCAGTGCTGAGCACTAATGCTGGTATCTGGCAGGCAACATCTTTCAAGCTACACTTCTGATCACATACTGTACAGTGGATGTTGTAAAGCAGTCTAACTGTGATAATTAATGTTTCGTCACGACTACACTGCAAGGAATTCTTAGCTCCATTTTACAGAGATGTCTAGGGAAGCTGGAGGGGCTTGGTCATACAGCAGGGCTGGAGCCCAAGTCAGCCACTTGCTATCATCTGTTCTTGCCACAACTTTGGCAGCGAATACCCCAGCTCTCAGTCCAGCCTTTCCCCTCACTCATTTGGTACCAACAGATAGCATGATCTGGGTATAAGACACAGCGTGAGGAACCAGGAGAGGGATCACAGCTGCTGCTCACTGAGCCCATCTTGGGTTGAGTCTGCATCCACAGCCCTCCTTGTGGTGGTCACAATGCTTTGAAGTGGTGGCTGGTGGGAGGGAAAAAATAGTTTCTTGCTGCCTTCCCACCCTATAGGCACCCTGGGCCTCCAGCTGATAGCTGAGGAAGAGGACCCTAGAGGCAAATGAGGATGGTGCAGGCTGACTTACTGCCAGACCCCACATTACCTGTGGCCATCCAGAAGGTGCAACGTGGTATGCTGGAGAAATGAGCAGACACTTGAAAGCTTTCAATTCTCCATGTACACAACACGCAGAGCTCACCAGCCACCAGCTTTACATGTTGACCCCATGTGCCTTGCACATGAAGGGGCTGAGGGTAAAGCAGAGGATGTATACACAGATCTTCCTGACTGACACATGCCTCTGAGGTTATTACTGTGGATGCCTCCATCAGCACTACCCAACACCATGACGTCTGTTTCAGAGAAAGATTAAGAATGTGAGTAAAATATATTAGCCATGCAAAGTTGGTTTTTCTTATATAACAAGTCCAAAATATAAATTTAAAAAAAAAAGAGAAGTTAGATAATAGGAAACTCTGTGGAGACAGGATGTGGATAGGAGGCAAGGAAAGAGTAAAGGATCAAGATGTCATATGTGTAAGTACCAGGTGCTCACGGTAAATGTGTTTATCACATATTAAACACACACTAAAACAGTAAAAGAAAATAAAGGAGGACTTACCAGGTAATCGGAGGGGCTTCCACAGTGCAGAGTTTGGCACATAAGCATGCTTTGTGGTGGTGACAATTAACTGACTGCCCAGCTTATACTGGAACTTGATGAAGGCGACGCCATCAGCTCCTGACGTTCCTGAGGCGATGGACACCTGTTTGGCGAAGACCTCGATGAGCACATCTGGGATGGGTTGGTGGGTGCTGGCATCACTGATGTGCACCTTCAGAGTCACCTCTGCAGAGAGGACAATGCGTCAGTTGGAGGGAGTCCACCCTAGTTAGATCTTAGATTCAATCACTTGATTTTCCTCTGATACACAAAGTCTAGTTTATGCTCTACAATTGTATACTTTGGAAAAAGATTATATATCACCACTTTTGGAGGACAGGCTGTTACTATGTTACTATGGCTGGGTAATTCTTGCAGACACCTGGGGTATCATTTTGATACAATGACAAATTCAACAGTAAACAAACTATTTATACTGACAGCTGGAGGACAAGTCTTCTGACCAGGTGAGACAATGTTTCTAACACTGTTTTCTTTTGTTGGATGAAAGGAAGATTCTGAGAGTGGCGGAGTAAGAGCCAGTGTGTTTTTGGTGGTCTATGAGAGATTTAGGATCCCACTGAGTGGGGCACTCCTTTACTAAACAGAAACTGAGACACCATTCTCGGTTTCACTGGTGCACAGGACTGATTCCAAAACACACCTCACAGCTGGACTTTGTTCTGCATTCTTGTTAATACTGTTCTGCCTCAGGCCCTCATAATCTATCACTAGACTACTGCTCAGCCTTGTAACAGAAGCTGCCCTCACCTGCAGATCTTGGCACTGGAGCCCCATGGAAACTAGAAGGTACTATCTGAGCTGACTATGGGCCCATGTTTCCCCTAGACTGGTAGCAGGGATCAGCACTGCAGTCCAACCCGGGGACATATGTTCAAAAGCATTGCTGTTTATGAATGGTCCATAAGCAAAGAATGATTTTTAACACTTTTAAGTGACTGTTAAAAAAAAGTCAAAATAGTATTTGTGTCATATTAAAATAATGTGTAAAAATAAAAATAAATAAAACAACCTGCAATTCAAATTTCAGAATCTATAAAGATTTATTAGAACATAGGCTAAGTATTTGTATGTCTCCCTTTTATTTTTTCTTCACTATTTTTAAAATAACCCCTATCAAAATCCCTTTGAAAGAAGCATTAATTCAGATAACAATGACTGTAGTTAATTAGAAAATATTTATTAATCAGTTACTTTCTGCTTAGCATGACACTAGGTACTATGGGAGATTAAAAGAAAAGATGAAAAAATATGGATCCCACTTTGTTTTTTTCCAATACTAAGAATTTAACCCAGGGTAGGCCTTGTCCACATTAGACAAGTGTTCTACCACTGAACTGTATCTCTAGCCCTTTTCATTTTGAAATGGAGTTTCACTAAATTTCTCAGGCTGGCCTTGAATTTGTGATCCTCCTGCATCAGCCTCTTTAGTAGTTGGGATGATGGGTGTGTGTCATCACGCCTACTTTATGGTTCTTGGTTAAAGAGTGTACAGTTTTTGAAGAAGGAAAAGGGAACGCCAATCCATGTGCTAGGGAGCAAAAAAGACAAAACTGGGTGGAGAGCATAAAAATACAGTGAGGAAGAGGTTAGTGAGCTTTAGAGTTTATAAACCAAGCCAGAAAGAAACAAAACATAGTCTGCAAGCACTCATGGAGGGACTGAATAGATGACGAGACTTATAAAGGATGTGTAAGACCACTCACTGTTGGCCGGGGACAAACAGGGCCTGCTGATGAGTCTATGCTATGAGTTGGTGGTAGCAACCTGGAGACTAAAACCCATTTACTTGTCACAAAGTGCCAACACTGCAATTAAAACTGAATCCTGAGGTTTAGGTTAGAAAAACAACTCATTAATATTAACATTTCTTGTCTTAAAAGAAAAGCAAGTAACACCCATGCCTTAGTTTCGCCACCACTAGTCCAGATGTTTATGTGGGAAGTGTTTTCCAGAAGAGATGCCCGTGATGCTGAGATCCAAGTGGTGGCAGCACGGGTAGGTGGGCCCCAGAGAACCAGGCATCATCCAAGTAGCCTTCCTCTACTGGCAGATGATCCCACTAATTCCAGAGCCTGTTTTTCCAGCCTCCCTTGCAGCCAAGGGGGAGGTAAAATAGACCCCAGCTCTGGGAATCTGATGTCCTATGTTGGATTTCAACTTGGAGCATGGAGAAACAGGTGCTCTTTCTGACCAAAGGGGACTCAGAGGAGTTACCTGTTTTGGAACAGCAGTGAGCCATGGGGAATAGTCCACCACAGAGCTCAGGTTTCATTCTGCCTTTGCACACTGTCTTCCCAGAGTTCTTTGGGACAGCAGGGAGCTATGGGGAATAGTCCACCATAGAGCTCATGTATCATTCTACCTTTGCAAGCTGTCTTCCGAGAGTTCGGTGAGCTGACTGAAAGCTTTACAGATGCTTCTTCTTATTGCATCTGCTAGTTCCTAATGACGAGCGCGAAGCCATGAGGGTACAGGGAGGAGGGAGGTGGAAGGTGTCCTGGGAGGTGGGGTTGAAGGATGCTGCCCTCACCATGGCATGCCAGAAAGAACAGCACCCGTGGGCACAAAGAAGGCTACTCATCCACCAGTGGCAGAGCCAAGAAGGAAGCAGAAATGGAAGCACTCAGAAATTTCGCCTCTCCTAGGACTCAGCACTCCCTGGCACTTGGTAGATGTGAGGCTCTTGGGCATTAACAAGTCCATCTTAAATCATATAATAAGCATGCGCTCCGTGGGTAGAAAACTAAACACTACCTTGTAGTCCAGCAGCATCTTTTAGTTATTTCCTTTCTAATTGCCATTGATTTAGAACTAACTGCAACAAGTCTGTTTCAAATTGTTGGTTTGGGAAGAGGCACCCCTAAGTAGCAAGTTGGGAGCAAACATGATTATAGGAGTGAGAGGATGGAATTACGGTGCATATTCACAGATGCATGGGAGACCCCAAGGGAGGGCTGGGCAAGGCTGGCTGAAGACACAGAAAGGCTGTTGATAAAGCTGCTTAGTCCTCCATCCGCACCTTCCAACATGAATTTGAATATCTTATTTTTCTATGCATGAGAGAATACATTTATTTTATGACTTCTCATCCAAACTCCAAAACAAGTATCTTTGCTCTCCCTCTTAAAATCATGTGCTAATACAGAACACTGCAGAACATGCTGTCCTTTGTGCTTTTCATGGGGAATAGAGCTAGGAGAGTAACATTCATCTGCTTTCTGAACACCATGTACTTCTTAGTTCACATATTTATTCAAGCAAACTCTAGGTCTATCTGGAAGGGAAAGCAAAGTCTGTGGACTTGATTTTGTTTGTTTGTTTGTTGTTGCTGTGAAGTTTTTGGCTTTCTCTGAATGCTTTTTTAATTCCCTTTCTATTTCCTGAAATTGGCTATTGTGGGATTTTAATTTTTCCCTTCCTTTGGGGCTTCAGAGCTGTGGGTTTCCACAGCAGCATATCTTAGTGGGAACCCAGTATTTTTTGGGTTTGCAACAGGGCATGACAGAAGGAACACACTTCCACCAAGCTGCCAAGTCAGAGTCCTTTGCCACATTGTCAAAGCCTCCGGCTGCCAACACCAGGGGATGGCAGCTGCAAAGGAAGTCACTGGACTTGGGCTCCAACACTGTGATTAGCTATATTTAATCCCAATTTAGGGAACTTACAATGGCTTTTCATCTTTTAAATGAAACAATAAAAGATCATTTGATAGCTTAAAAGTGTTTTCCAAATGAGAGGTTATTTTTAAAATGTTACCAGACCTTTTCTATAAGAGATTTTTCCTGTATTACCAGAATTTTATAACAGCAGCATGTACACAGGATTTGCATATCTTTACATAGCAAATACACCTACAGTTGTGGCTGGGATAGTAGGCTGGTCTGCACCACTAAAGGAGGGGAGCAGGCTCTGCTCAGTGCCAACATCAGCCCCATGTGGCCAGCCTGGAGGGGCGAAGAGGATGAGGGGACTGAGGTCTCTTTTGGGGCCATTGGCTCTCTAGATTGTCAGGAGTTTGTAGTTGACATTGAATCCAGGCTGAGGATGTAAGGTGTGGAACTGAAAGGAGAATGGCAAGATGAAGATTTCCCAACAACTTTGCCAGAAAATGATAATACTGAAGTAGGTATACTGTATATCTGGACCAGAGAATACTGTGGCAAAGGACCCTGACTTGGCTGCTGACAGCAGAAGTTAATGGAAATAAAGTAAAAGAGAAACTAAAGGCTGCAGACATTAGCCTGACACTGGATTCTAGCAATGGCTTTGTGTTATCAGATGATTTGGATGAAAGTGGGGAGATCAACTCAGATGGCTTGAACACACCCAGAGAACAGTAATGAATTTGAATGGGAAGGTGATCTGCTAAAACCCAAAACTCGCGAAGTCATTAGGAAAGGCTCAATTTCTGAGTACACTTCAGCAGAGGAAAAAGACGCTGACGCTGGCTCATGTTCAGGATTTGTAAACAGAACCACCAGGTTGACATGAAGGCAGTAGAATCCTATAAAAAAGTCATCAGCCATGGATGACATTATGGGGGTGGATTAAATGCCATTGTTGTGCTTGCTGTCTGTTTTACATAGTGAATACGAGCATATTCTAAATTGTCTAATGTATGGAGGGGCAACTTTCTATCCATTTCTTTTATAGAGGTAAAACGGTTTATTCTACTTTGTGATCTGATAAAAGTAGGAAATACCTTGTTATGCTACAGTATTACTGTAGTTTATTTTCTCCAGTTTCATGTAGTACACACATCTTTTATTGTTCAATTTTATTTTTAGAATTCGAGGGTTTTTGTTTGTTTGTTTAAGCTGAGTGTAGTGGCACACGCTTGTAATTTCAGCACTGACGCAGGAAGATCACAAGTTTGAGCTCAGCCACAATATAGTGACTTACTGAGAACTTAGCTCAGAAAATTAAAAGAGTTGGAGATGTAGCTCAGTAAGAAGGCTCTGGATTCAGTCCCCAGTACCACAGTAAAGAAACAAGTATATACAACAGAAAATTTAAAATTTTCAAACATTAGTGCATTATGTGTGTCTTTCAAGCAAATTACATATGTATTTGAAAAGACCAATGTATGATACTCTATTTAACATTATACACTATACAATACATTATGTTACATATTACATGAATACATTAATATATAATAC